CCGCTGGCTTCATTCTCTTGGAGCTCTTGCTGATTGTACAACTTTGAAATCAAACGGGGATGAAACGTCAGAAAATTATTTGACACAAGGCAATGAGCCTGACAGCAGCGTCAAGGTCAGCGATACCGCATGAGGTTTTGTTGCTGTTATTGCTGCGCTTCAGGCTACACTTACCACATGGCTCGACGAGCTCTCTCGAGCATTTTTACGGAGCAAGCTGAAGTCCGTGTCCCAGCACATTTTACCTCTTCATCTCCATTTTGCAACGTATCGACGGTTGACATGGCTGCACTCGATAATGTGGCAGAGAAAAGGCAGCTCCAGTAAGCCTTTGAACACTAATAGTATATGCACCCAGGCTAGCTTGAATTGCGACGGCATTTTGGCGCAGACCAATCGATGCTCTTGCATGGCTTGGATCGCAATTCGTTCTCAATAGCAGCCATCGGATTGGCTGCCCGCACGAGCATTTCTGATTTCTGATTGGGTTTCCCGTCCCGTAAACCGTAGCCATTTTGTGATACTAACGCCCGGTCGTGCGCCGTCGCACGAAGGTGGCAGCCGGGAAGCTCAGCCGGGATGGGCGCTCCGATGTTGCACATCAAGATCGCGCATACAACTACTTCCTGTCGACGGAGGCATGACAGGCGCGTCAGAGTGCTAGCTCAAGTGCTAGCTCCATACGTGGTGCGTCTTTCTTCCTGGCGTGGTGTGCCTACCTATCCACTTTTACGTTGCGCTCGGGTACAGAATGCAGGCTACGAACGCACCACCTCAAAGCGGAGCTTTATATTATAAAGATGACATGGTATGTGTGACACGCCAACAAGATGCCACGGTGAAGGTTACGCTGCGATCGGCAGTAAACGACCATGGTCTACGATGATGCTTGGGATTCGTCGTGTAGTCTCACACGAAGCAGGCGAGCAATGCCCCGCGTCGTTGGTCGTCGCAACGCCCGCCGTACGTGACCCATCCTCCTCCATATTGTCATGCTTCCTGCACGGTCTGGCGCACGTGCAGTAGCCAACGCTGACAACTGAAACCAGCGACCAAGACCAGCTCCAAGAATAGCGTATCTTTATCACCTTGCACACGAATCAATATTTGAACACCGAATCGAAGCGGCAAACGACGGGGGTGTTCTTCGGTCCCGCTCTGATCACGGATGATTCCAGTTGATGGTGATCAGGCAAAGCGGTGGTCCCAACACACGTGAGCATGTCAAGCCGCACGGGGCGATGCAATCACACGCGCATGAAGTACCTCTAGACCTATCCAGCATTGCGGGGACATGCTACGTCAGTTGTCTGATGCGCCGCATCTCGTGTGTTGCCTCGAACGATCGCTTGCACCTCGTTGGTGCGCTCGCTCCAGCACGGATCGGCGACTTTCCATAGTTGACCCACGGAAAACAGTACATGTGCTGCTCCGCTACGAAACTGAGGGACCAACCTAGAACCAACAGGCGATCGCGGTCTGGCGACTAAGCGACGGGCGACAACTCAACGCATTTGCGTCATACCGCGTCAATTGCAGCTCCACCACGCGTTGCTGGTTCGAAATGAGTTCAGCTAAGCTTAGCTGTACCTTCTCCGCATGCACACAACGTGTTGATTGGCAAGAGACCAGAACTGACGGCCGTATTGCCTCGTCAGGCTGACTTGTTTTATTCTTCGCTCAGGGGGATAAAGGGCGCGAGGCCTGCATTACCGCTGCACCTCGGGTGAGGCGTGGCGGGTTGCTTAGCGGAGATCGGAAACTAGAATGCTAGGCTCTGGCCACCAGTCGTTGGTTTTGCTGAGCCGCCTTCTCTTGAAAAGTCCGTTTCGACTCCTTGCAGGCGCGAAACACCCACTTTGCAGCCGCGATTCTCGGACTCGCTGCGCTCGAGCTCGTCCAGCGACTCTACGACGACGAGGACCTCAGTTTTGGCCATGTACCTCGACGCCTAGCGGCTCTTGCTTGTGCTGACTTTGCCTTTGTTTGTCACCCCTCGGTTGCTCGGCGCGTGCAACTCCCAGCCTTGACAACCAGTCTTCGTCCGTCCACCGTGCTAGCGCTGAAAGCGCATCGCGGTGCAGGACGTCCTTTGCGTGCAGCTGCGGCAC